TGGCTACTTCCCACCACGCTGTTTTTATTAGATCTGTCTTAGGTCTGTTTCTTTTGTTGTTTCTTTTCTGTGCCTTCACTCTCAAAATATCTTTAAGGTATTACATTTAGCTGCTGACATAGTTATTCCTCTTCTAAAGCCCACAGTATTCCCCAAGTCTGTATATTTTTCCTCATCTTCAGTGTTCCTCTGATTTAACTGTTCCATTTTGTTTTGACTTTTGATTATCCCAGGGTCCGATTGGTATGGATGGAAAGCTGGTAGGTGATTTGTTCAAAACCAGTGTAATTTAGGTCGTGCACATATTCCCTCTTTGCTTTTTTAATTAGTCATGCTGAAATGTATATTAATCACATATTGGCTTCCTTTGGCATAACTTATTTCAACCTCAATAGCATAGATTTTTAACAGAGTGCCAAAAAGCCACTTCAGTCTTTTGTGTCTATCCAAGGAAATGGAGGTCAGCCATGCTGCTCCTGTTTCCTTATCATTTTCTATCTGGATTAGATTGGAAGGCAGATGTCCCTGCTTGGGTGCTCTGTCCAGGGAATGCTTCACAAGGGTAGTTTGGTCGTGCCTTTCAAACAGCAGGATATTATTTCTGACCACATATCTGCGACTCTTGCTGGTTTCCTTTTTCCACAGGTTCTTCGTTTTTGTGTTTTAATTTCTCTCCATGGATTTTGTTGGCTGATTAGATCTGAACAGCCCCATGTCTCATTTTAAATGCATTTGTGGGCTATCCCAGATATTCTTTAGGGAGATGCTACTTGAATTAAGTTAGAAATAACCTTTACTTTTATACAATGCATTTGTAAATATATTTATATTTGTGTATATATTTGTATATCCACATATTTGGATGTATGAACCTGGAAGTTATTGTTCCCAGCTCTTTAAAGATTAAAATCATGCAAAAGGTGTAAAAATTCAGTTTCTGCACTTTCTCATGCTACTTTTTTTGCTCCCTCTCTCTTCCTCCTTTTCCAGGACAGCTCTTTTCTCTGATACCCTGAATACATCTTTTCTGTCTTTTCATTTGCTACAGGCCCCATTTCCTTTGCAAGCTCAACTTGTTAACTTGCAGTGTCAGCTTCCATTTTCTTCTCTTAAGACTTTTTCCTGTGCTCCTTGAGATCTCTTTCTACTGTTAAGTAACTTTTCTGCAATGTTTGCAGCCTCCAGTCAATAGGCTTTTTTCTTTAATCTCCTCTTTTAGCAGATTGATAGCTTACCTATTGACTTCAGATAGACCTGGCTACATCATGGGTTGTTTTTTTTCCCTTAGTATCATTTACGTATCAGCTGCTAATATTAAATTCCTAGGAAGGGATTAACTATCAACCATAGAAGACCTTTCATCATAGTAATTAGAATAGGCTGCCAAAGGACCCCTTTCTTTCCTGCAAAACAACGTATGAAGTCAGTAAACAGGAATATAGAAGGGAAAATTGTTCTGAAGATTTTGCTGAAACCACAAAATATTATGTAGCTATACCCACTGTAGTAATGCAGATTTAAAAAATAAATTTAAAAAAAAAAAGGCAGCAATCAGTAGTGGATAATCAAGTACGTGAACAATGGTACAGAGGTTCAAAGCAGCAGCCACTAAAATATGCCTGATCAGTTATTGGTGTTGGGACTGATCTGTAAATGCATGTAAAGAACAGCAGTCAGTTAGTAGATACAATCAATGAATCACTTTTACAGTATGTAACACATTTGAATAAAGAGATATTCATTAGAAAAAAAAATGGAGTAATGTTGACTTTTCAGTCTTGAAGAGTATTTTCACCCTGTTTGTTATCTAAAATTTAGAGGAATACCTCCAGCTAAAACATTTTAATCCACAAGTAACATGCACTGGGAACAATTTACACAGCAACGAGCAGGGTGATTTCAGTGATCTTGGAGCCCTTTTGGGAACACAAGCATATTAACTGAGACTGAGCTTGCTCAAGTGAGTTATCATATCACATTGTATTCATGTTAGAGGGTTTTTTTAATGAACACAAAATTAACTCACAGGGCTTTATTCCTGACCCTTTCACAACATACAAAAATGAGAGAAAGCAAAATGAACTGCCTCTTTTTCGTCTCCCACACTTTGAATTGTTGAGCAACAATGACCCTTTACAATAAAAAAGGTCAGTATTGTGATGCCTCTTTCTACCTGTACCTTTGTACGCAGAGCTGATGAATTCCATAATATAGCATTTGCCTCATCCTCTGGTTAGTGTCACTTACAGGATCATTATTTAGAAGAGAAAATTATACTGTAACTGCAGTAGCTAGTAGGGCAAGGAGTATCTAAGAGCATACAAACATATTGAAGGGTTGAGAACAACTGAAAAAAACCAAAAATAGTTACCTTCACTAATGCAATGTTCCTTCCATGTTCAAGGAGCTCATAGCCAACAGGATAAAAAAATCTTGCTATGAGTACTTTTGTATTCGGCATCTGCATTTAGTTAAATGCAGGATAATTGCAATATTGGCAGCATATATAAACTAAGAGTAATGCAACTATTACATTCCCCATTATCTCATGGAGTTCTGTGTTACCATGAAAAACAATTGTCCTATAAAAATTCAGTTTCCAGCTTTCCTTTCTCTGTATTGCAGAGATGATAAAAGACTAATTATAAATGCACAATAATAAAAAGGCAAACTGGTAATGCTGTTGAGACTGAATGTAGAAAACACTTTCATGGGAGTATGATTCCATCCCTGACATTCAGTTCAGGGTATATTTGTGTTATGTGTGTATGTCACTTTATATATATAGCACGTACCATGCGGACGCTTAGTAGCCTATATGTCTAAGTTAGATTGAAGAACAAGGTGTCAGTTTTCAAATCTTTTTGTTTAAGTATATATATATATTCTCTTTATTTGCTTTCTACTGCTTTAAATCAACATTTGTTGAAACGTTTTGTTAATTTCAGACTTTCATTTAAGATTTTTTATTTAATTATATATATCTTGGAGACAGTCTTTAATGATTTGGTCAAAAGAATTGAAACTTTAGATATACTTGTGAGACAAATGTATTGTCAGTTTATATATAAAAGTCTGCATGCATAGGTCTCAGTTTAGTTAATTTATACAAATTTATTGTACAGGCTGCCCAATACTGCATTAGTAAGCAATTCCTGATTAGGAATTAGGATCAGGTATAGCATATAATAGCTTAAAACCTGCTGTGATGGGAAGATTGAGGTAAAGGCTGAGTGCTGAGCAGTCCCAATTGTATTCATTAACTCAGTGTGATGTGTAACTTCATAGAACTGACCAGTTCAGAAAACTTTACTTCATATTAGAAGTGGCAAACCTCAGCCAGTGTTTTTTTTGTCTGAAAACCTCTGTAAGTGCAGTGCTGGTTTAAGAAGCTAATACAAAACTGCAGCATCTACAACAGAGAATGCTTTAGGCTGCCTTCAGTGTAAGGATTAGATAGCTACAATAATTCTGTATTCTACCATGATTCCTCGTAACGTTATTTCTAATATTTCTTACATTTAAAAAAAAAATCTTTAAAAACTTGCATGTGAATTAAAATATATTTTCCTGGTTTTTAATTTAGCACAAAAAATCTTACTAGTTACTAAAAAAAGCATTTTTCTTCAGCTGCTTTTCTCGTAGATAATAGTTCCCAGTTGAAATGATTCCCCTACCCTCTTTAAAATCACACAGAATTGCAGAGTGGTTGAATTTGGAAGGCACCTCTGGAGGCCATCTGGTCTAACCCCCCTGCTTAAGCAGAGCCATCTAGAGCAGGTTGCCCAGGATCACGTCCAGAAGGCTTTTAAATATCTCCAAGGATGGAGACTCCACAATCTCCCTGGGCAACCTGTGCCAGTGCTTGGTTACCCTCACAGTAAAAAAGTGTTTCCTGATGATCAGATGGAAAAGTTTTGAGTCTCTGTAGCAGTACCTTCTAGTTAAAGTGGAGAGTTTTTGTAAGACTTTTAAGACGTCTCCATGCTCAGTTTCCTTCAACTAAAGAAAATATAGTTTTAGTTCAGCTGAAATGTTACTGAAGTGTCATAAAACCCTAGAAGCTAAGCTAGAAGTTTAAGAAATTCTCTCTTTATAGGGAGAAATATATGAATATTTGTTTCTGTCTTACAGTGTGAGCTGATTGTCTGGGTGATTGTAGTTCATAGTCACAGCTACTATACTGTTTTGTAATATAATACTGCTTCATGCAGATAATTTGTAATGAGTAGGCTAGAATAACTGATGACTTTCACCGGCTGTCCTAGGCCAGGAACATTAGTGATAGGAAGTCTGGTCTGTAAGGGCTTGCAGCAGCAAGAGATACATACAACACCTCGGTGTGCAAAGGATGCCTCTCCATTTGTCCAGGGGTGGTCCAAAGGTGACGATAAATAAGGGAGAGGAAATGTATCAGCTACCTCTTGGGCTGACTGACAAGAGTTAATCTACTGCTGACTTGCTGGTTTTAATATTGGTTTATACTTGCTTAAAACTGTGGTGCTTGCAGCAATGGCAAAAAGACTACTGTTTGCCCAGCAATGTGCTCCTCCAGTTTTTAGACTTTGTTCGTTCAATAGGCGGTAATTAGCACCTCCTTGAAGCATGGGGGCAAGCCGTAAAGGAGAAAAAGCACGCAATACCTACTTCTAAATTAGCTCAGCATCTGTGGATTCTTTTTCACTTGAAAATGATTAACTTAGGTCTTTCTATCATTTCTAAATTGTTCTGACTATCTAAAGTATGAAGTTTCTCAAATGCAGGTTCAATGATGTGTTATTGTAATTTATTTCTGGAATCAGTTAATTGCAAGAAAGTTCATCAGTTGGAATTAGAACATTCAAATTCAATATAGAATTAAGAGTCAGAATCTGACTTCAATACACTTACTGGATTTTTTGTTATGTCCTCATTAGAGAGTACTGTAACTATTTGCTACTATTTAAGGAGTTAATCCTTGTCTTAATTTACCATAACCTTATCTTTTTCTTGTTTTTCAGGGTCAGCCTGGTCCTCAAGTAAGTGCCATCTTATTTTCCTGCATAAGTTAAAGCTAAATACAGGGCCCACCAAACTCAGGTTTTCTACAGAGTTGTTTTTTTTTTTTTTATTAAATCCTACTGTAATAAGCTAGAAACTGGTAACCATTGCATAATTCTGTAAGGCAAATATTTCCCAAGAGAGAAAGATGGGCCCCCCCATATGGTTGAGTTCCCTCAGCTGTTTGACCAGATGGTGGGGTTAACAACGTAATACTGAATAAAGCAAATCTCCTAACTATGGCTTGAAACTTTGCCACCTAACTTTAAAGCAAGATAAAATAACTTAGCAAATGTGTAGCAAATGTAATACTTCAACTGCTTATTAATCACATGCTAATAGTGTTGCAGTAATCCAGGCAGCCCTCAGTTATTTTAAATATTGCACTGCTAGCTGTTTTGATTAATTATATACACTGCTTTGAATTAGTTCTGCTTTATTTAAGAATAATAGAACTTTGTCTTGTGAGCTGTAACTGAAGATGTGGTAATCTAGAGTCGAACTTCAGTTCTGAAGTAGAAATAGAACAGCAGAAAGGAAACATTAGGTATAGCAAAAATTAAATGTAAATTATTTGAGTTAGAGTGATATAGAAATGTGGAAGAGCAAGGAAGTAGGAAAAAGAAAAGTGAATACTAAAGCCAAACTTAGTGAAATCAGTTGAAAAACTCTACCTTTTTGCACACGTGAGATGCATTATGGAACTCTAGTCTGTGGGACCATCTTAGCACAAGTGAGTTGCCTGAACCAGGATTTCTGTGGCGGCCTTTTATATTTCAGAATCATAATTGAAAGTCAAAGCTTTACAGCCTTATCGACTGAATTTTTTTAAGTTAAGATTTTCTTTATGGGAAGCAAGCATTTTTCTCAGATTTTCTTGTTTCTAATCATCGTTTTCTGTTGAAAGACAGTTTGCGTTATAAACCGTCATCCCACTCAGTTTTGAATGCCTAGTATCCTTGCAGTGCCAGGCTCCATTTAATAGTATTATCTAAGTAGCCCATATGATATTGGAAATTACCACCCCCCACAGCACTTACTTTTCATGGTAAGCTCTTGATGTGTGGCCTACACAGAGAGGTATCTTCAGCCTCTGTGCTGCTGGGGGTCAATGAAGAGAGAGATCGTAATTCTGTGTGGCAGTCTTGCTCTGAACAAACTCTGTTGAGGACCTGAAGCTGTTACTGGAGCCTGTGGGCTGCCCTCCAGTTGGCAACGACTTGTGCTGCCACCCGTGTCTTTTCCCTCTGGGTTTGGACCCCCACCTCCCACATTTCAGTTGCTTGGAGAGTGTCTCTTGCTTAATGCTCGTAAACAGCTTCTCAGTCTTTGGAGCTCATATCTCTACATGAAATGCCCTGAGGTAGCTGTAGGCAAAGAACCACAATGGAGATGGCAGCATGCAGTGCTGTTTCAAGGGCAGAAAGGCAGACAAATCTCGTCATGATTGTTAAGAGAAGTGGGGTGCAAACCATAGGAAAAACCCTCTAAAAATGCCCTCCCAAATTTTATTAACTACTCTGTGCTCTGAATGAATATACAGAAAACAAGTACAAGGTACTAGGGCCCACAAGACTTAGGATGAGAATTCTTGCATCCTAACTTCAGTAGTTCCTCCCAGTGGAAATGCTCATCTCTGTGCCATTGCTATTGTTCTGAGCAACACCATTTCTCTTAATACTGTCTTTTCCTCCTTTCCAGCTCAAGATGCTATTATTGTGGCAGCAGGATATGTATGTACTTAGTAATTTTGACTGGCTGATTTGAGTCCAGGAATAATTCTTGCAAGGGCACCGGTGAGGAAGCCATAATGGCATGAAACAGTCAGAGGAGAATTCAGCTTTAGATCAGGATGCCTAAACCTAGAAGCTTGTGCGTAGGTGTTGACATGTGAGGTGTGTAAGCACTCCTTGTAGTCAGTGAAGGCTGAGTCAATACTCAGTGCACCTAGAGACCTCTTCAGCTCGTTGTAAACTCCTAGGGCTCAATTACGTTGCCTGCATTCAGGTGTTTGTTGCTGTGTGAGATGATCCAGGGTCTCCAGCCTAGCCTCTGGCTGTTTCATGTACAATGGCTGGAGTCTGTGTTGGGCCATTGTTGTATCTGTCAGTCATGGGCAGCTGTCTTGGATACCTAGGGAACCTCTCACATGACACTACTTGCACACATTCGTGCCTCTTAATTACAGATTCTGATTATAGGCAGCTACTGAATCGAATAACCATTCTGCTGAATTGCTTTCTAGCCTATGTTGACAACTACGTGTCTTAGGCAAATACATGTAGGCTATACATTTAGATGTCTTTCCCCTTAAACTGAAACCCAGATCCAGATAACTTCATGAGACAGCATTTTTAAAATGCAGAAAACTCTGGTTGAAAATCTCAAGAATTTTTAAAATTGTTTTTAAAGTATCAGTAGAAAACAGAATCTGTTCACATACAGATAAAATAAGTCAAACCCCCGCAGTTTCTCATTAAAAAACTGCAGAAATTTCAGCCACCCGTGGTTGTCAGTAATTTCCTCAGTCTTAACTGTCCATGAGAAATCTGAAATGCAAAGTATTGGTCGGTTTGGTTAGTAAGTAAAGGATTCCTGCCTTCAAAGAGAATTACTATGCTGACAAAAGAAAGTTTTTGATGTCATAGCCATTTAAGTCCACACTAAGAGAAAAGATAAATTCTAATCCTTTTTACACTCAGTGTTTTATTAGCACCTATTCTTTTTTTTGCTATAATTTTCAAAAAGTACACACTGAATTCACACAACACATACATAGTTACTGGGTACAAATATAAATTCATAACAGATCAGTAACACCTCCTATCTTTTTATCTTTGAATTTTTACTGCTTCTTTTCTTCAAAAATACACTGCAAAAGAGAATTTTGCTTCATATTTTCCTGGTTTAAGTAAAAGAAAGTTTCATTACAACCCACAAGCATTTTTTCAGAAAAATCTTGTGGTTCTATTGTATCTCTGAAAGATAAATCAATAATCCATAGCTAAAGGATTTCTAGCATAACCTTTAAAAAAATAAAGTATCTTCTTATGATTTTAGTTTTCTGTTAAAAAGAAAGCTTTTTCAAATACTATGTAAACTGAGTTTCTTTATAGAAGAGCAAGTAATAAAATTTTTAATATTTTTGCTGAAACTTAAATTCTGGCTTTTGAGTGACCCCAAAGAATACCTGCTTTTTTTTCTTGTTTAGAATGTAAATATGTATTTAGATTAATTTGTACCAGAAAGGTTTATTTTCCCAACAAATCTATACAACCAAATTCTGCCCATACACGTCCTGTTTAAAATAATGGAAGTATTCATGTTTGTCAAAGAACAGACTTTAGCTTCTAGTCTAAAGCTAATTCCATAACGAATGTACTATCTGGGTAAAGAGAAGGCTTGTTATTTTTAACTTTTTTGTTGTTTAGAAGTAAAGTTCATATAAATTTTGTAAAAAAGAGCATTTAGTATTCGGGTGAAGGAAGAGAAAATGATCCTTTATGAAATCCTAAACTGAACTAAAGCCATTAATGACTATAAATGTTGGGCCGGGTGCTGTTTCAGTGTGACTTTGTCTCAGTCAGTCAACTGTTCTCCTGTGTGGCAATATCCTCTCCCTGGCCTATCTGTAGTGCAACATACTTTTTCTCTCATGTCAGCATACGTGATCACTCTCTGTGTGGGACTTTGAGATATAGCAGCCCCACAGATGCTTCTCCCTTCTCTTTGGCAGGCATTCAAATCTGCATTAGAAATGGACAAAATACTAATGATTGATACTTGTTTTCATGAGATTCTTGTTTTCCTGTATGTAAAATGTCTGTGGAAGCGGTGTTATTTCAGTCTGAAATTTTGCAGTGTTGTGTGCATGACAAAGGGTTACCATAGCAATTCTGGTGACAAATGTATGCGTGTGTCTTTTTTACCGTCAAGCTTCAGGGTATGTGACTGGAGTATTTTTAATTTCTGATGGCAGCGATTCTGATTCATGGTTGGACAGGCTATTACTGGCTTCGGCTGTCAACAGAGCTGGTGGGAACCATTTTAACTTTCAGTTTTCTGCTTTTTGTCAAGGACTGAGAGAAAGAGCCAGCAGGACATAGGCCATAGTTTTGAGCTGGTGTGGATGGCAGCAGTGTATGGAAGAGATTTGTTTATCACTTCCTAGAGAACACTGTGATGGTAAGGAGAATCCTAGACCTTGGGAAAGAGTTGAGTATCTGACAGCAGGAAGGATGGGAAAGGGGTTGTGTAAAACATTTTCTTTAAGTCCTGCTGAGTTTCCCTTTCAGTTTGGTAGTTAGGATAGCCATCTGCATTCCAAGACCTGTTAAATATTCCTCTTAGTTAGCACATGCCATTCAGTACTGGGGCAGTTGATAAGGTCAAGTGATCTTGTATGTGTTTTGATGGCTTTTTAAGCGATGGGCAAGGTGCATAATATGTCCTATTGACTAATGCTGCAAAGTCTCTACCTGTCAGAGCCTTAGAGTTGAATGCTTCTTTTGTTCTGATCACCATAAATTGAGGTGTAAGCTCCACGTTCCTTGTTCCCAGCAGTGTGCCTCTAGGAATGCCTTGAGTCTCTCTACTTGCGCGGAGAGTGGGGGAAGGAGGCAAGAAGTACGCTTTTGAAGGACAGAATCAGAGTGAGGCTGGAGAAAGAGTTCATCACCTTGAGATACACAGTGCAGTAAAACTGTTGCTCCTGAGAGAAGCCCACTGGTTGTATCCAGGCCATCAGCTGTTCACACTCTAGAGAATCATCTTGTGGGGTGTTTCTCCTTCTAGCAGCTGATACCCTAAGCTCCTTTGTAAACTTCTGATCCTGCTGAAGGATTGTATGACTCATTTTGAATATGCAAATGCTAGTCTGCTTTTGGGTTAAGAGTTGCAGGTCAGATTTTGCTGTCAAACTTTAACAAATTCATTTGTTAACAAAGAACAGGTACAGTCGCTCAAATTTTTGTTTTCT